ATATATAGAACCTGACTTGCATATATAAATGCTGAACACATGCAACGCACCGGAGTCAGCAGAGGCAGAGAGCACATGAAATATACAGCAAAGAGATGTGTCCTTACCCCACTAGATAAGCCAGAATGGACATCTGAACAACACGGAATAAAATCCCCACCTTTTTGTTCTTGGCAATGACATATTTTTCAGTCTTATAATCAAAGAGTGACATAAACAGCCCTTTCCAAGCGACCTGCCCCATTCTGTCTGCTCACATTGCAGCAGTGAGGGAGAAGAGACAGGAAGGGAATGCAGCTCTGATTCAGGCACACGCGCTCTATTCTGAAACATGAGAAACAGCTGAGACCGGTGCTACTGCTCACTGCCTATACATCTAGAACATAGCTCAGTATGAGGTGGCATCATGACCTGCATGTGCGTGATCACTCTCAGTGTAACCACACAGCCTACACTCATAATTCTAGCTTTATTTTTAAATTTATATTATTGTCACACAACTTTCTTCAGCCTTTTTAATAAACCACCTGATCCGCCTGTGGGCTTATTTAAAGCCCAGATCTAGGGATGTCCCGATACCACTTTTTCAGGACCAAGTACAAGTACAAGTACTTCCCCTCATGTACTTGCCGATACCAATTACCGATACTTTTTTTTTTTTTTTTCTTTAAAGGGACAGATGACTTTAAATGATCCATAGTACAATTATTTGTTATGTACTATGGATCATGATTTAATCTATTCATGTTAGCAGGGGAGAATTGTAAATCTATTGCTGTAGTGTAGTGGAGGTGTGTGCTGTATATATGTACTACATATACATTACACACATCCAGTACACTATAGCAATAGATTTACAGCCAGCCCCGTCCCAGCTTCCCTCACTCACAGTTTCACTCCGATCCCTGCTGCCTCTTGCTGTGCCTCTGGTAGTCCGCGCTGGGCAGGATCGCTGCATCACGTCTCGGTGCTCAGCTTGTGGGAGGCGCTCACAATTCTGCCCTGCTAACATGAATAGGTTAAATCATGATCCATAGTACATATACAGTACACTGCAGTCTGCAGCAATAGAATTACAATTCTCCCCTAACATGAATGGGGTAAATGATTCATAGTACATAATATGTAGTTGTACTACGGATCATTTAACTTTTTAATATTAGCATAGGATAATTGTAAATCTATTACTGCAGCGTATTGGGAATATGTACTGTATATACAGTATGTACTACATATAGAATACACACTGCAGTAATAGAGTTACAATTCTCCCCTGCTAACATGAATGGGTTAAATGATCCATCGTACAACTATATATTATCTACTATGGATCATTTAATACATTCATATTAGCAGGGGATAATTGTAAATCTATTGTCTATTGTAGTACATATAGAGCACACACTGCAGGCAATAGATTTACAATTATCCTCTGCTAATATTAATAGTTTCTACATAGGGACCCCCCTTGCCCTCACTCACTGTTCGATGATGGTGCCTCACGATGTGCCTCGCTGGTGAGGTCGGCGCTGTGCGGGAGAGCAGCGGTGAGTCAGCGCTGGTCCAATAGGAGTAGGTTGCAGTTGGGGTCCTAATTTAGCTGGCCGGCGACTGCCCGTTTGCCTTCCAGCTAAATTAGGACCCCACTTGGAGCTCCTCCCACCGGACCAGCGCTGACTCGCCGCTGCTCTCCCGATCAGCAGCCGGAAGGTAAGAAAAAAAAATATTGCATGCTTCGGCGCTATGTATCGGGCCATTTTGACAAGTACTTGTCAAAATGCCCTGCATCGGTCCCGATACGGATGCTAGTACCGGTATCGGGACATCCCTACCCAGATCTATTTCAGTCTGCTGTTTCAGATTTAATTCCTTATAGCTCTTTGGAGGTCCTCTGGTGAGTGTTATGAGGGTAAGAGAAGCTGTGCTTTGTTTTAATGAGATTTATGGAGAAAAAACATAAGAACCAATGCAAAATACAGTGGTCAGCCTTTGTGCCTTCACCCTGGTTGTTATCACGAGCTCAGGTCCCTGCAGCACACACCTGCTCTAAACGGGAAAGCTTAAGTAAACTGCTAGACATTCAAGCAGTGCCCATTCAACAGGTTAGTCTGTCTGCTTCTTCTCTGGATTCAGGTCTATCTGACTCTAACAGGTTATACACTAAACGGTAAAGAGTTTGGAGAAGGCAGGAGAGGTGAACAAACTAGAACAACATAGCTTAAATGGAAAGTGAGCTGAGTTGGAGAATTTTGCCAAATCAGCTTTTTTGGCCTAGATTGTTCACTTCACCAGTATTGCTGGTCAGATGGATTTTACAGTATGTTAAGATGTGTTTTCAGCCCATTCAAAATGAAAGGGAAGCTGCAATGCAGAGCATTTGTGTTAATGCAGTGCATAGCCTGAACGGGTTCTTAAGAATAGCCAGTGGCAGGTAGGTAGAGTTAGGAACAGAGGTCCCGGAAGGTGCATAGATCTTATTGTTGGAGTCCCGAAAGATGCAGGAAGTTGACAGGTGATTTAACCTATTAGCATCAACTGGAGGATGAAGCATCAGTTATTGCTAAACTTACCCTTTGATCATAAAACGGCAAAGGTATGCATGGAAACATTAATGGGCCCAGAAAAAGTATTTCAATATTACATTATTATAAGAAGCAATAATGTAAACAGCTAGGGGACAAAGGAATGTATAACTGAGTACAACTGGATTCTTCTTCGGGTTTAGTTACAGTTTCAATTCAAATTTCAGTGAGCTCATTCAGCAGATGGCATCAACTAGACATGTGCGATTCGTTTCGTTCCGAATCGAAATTCGGACGAATTTTCGTAAATTCGGACATTCGGATGTATCCGAATTCCGAATTACAGACATAACGAATGCAAACGAATCCGAATTTCCATTTCCGAAATTCGGTAGCGTTCGCACGAACGTTCGTTTCGTTTTCTGTTCTTATTCGTTTCTTATTCGTTTCTTATTCGTTTCGTTCGTTGGAGCAAAGTGACATTAGAGAAGGAGAAAAATATTTTTTCCCCCTCAAATGTCACTTTTGCTGCAAACGAACGAAACGAATAAGAAACGAATAAGAACAGAAAACGAAACGAACGTTCGTGCGAACGCTACCGAATTTCGTCCGAATCCGAATTCCGAATCCGAATTGACTTTCACACCCGAATCCCGAAAAACGAAATAACACAAATCCGAATTTAAAACGAAACGAAACGAAACAAATTTTTTGGCAGTGCACATGTCTAGCATCAACTAATTTGATAGCATAGTTTCACATGTAAGTGGTTATGCGATTATTGATTATGACATTGCAGCAGGGTGAAGGTAACCTTGTGGTGATTTAAATATAGCTGAGAATGAAAACAAATGCAACATCGCCATTCATCAGCTGCTTGTATGAAGAAGAGGAGGGTGCTGAGTTCCGGTCTGCCAAATCTAAATGCATGGACAGCATACCAGCTCTGACCACAGTTGCCAGTTTATGCTATTATTGAATTAGCTATGAATTATATAGGTACTGCGACTGATAAAATGCAGAAAAGGCACCAAGAAGATATGATTATTTAGATGTGTCAGTAATTAAAGGGTTGCAAGCCCATCAATGACATATACTACTTCTCTTTCTATGAGAGGTCCAGATCCAGAATTTTCACGTCAGTTGCAGTAATGAAGGGAATTGGTGGGCAGACAATGAGTGATATATAAATGTTTCTATCGCAAGAAAAAAAAAAAGGGTATTTCCACAGTGGGGTGTGCGAGGACCCAGAGGGGAAAATAAAAAAAGGGGGCTTTTAAGAAACAAGTCCAGACCTTGTGTATAAAAATCTTAGAAGTACATTTATTCAATAAATCGTTGTATACATTATTTAAGATAAAAAACGGAATACAAAATCATCAATAAAAATGCTTTTACAAATGCAGGTTCACCGAATGGTGACGATACCGTGCAGTTACGATGTATATGGTTGTTTGTTATCAGAATGGTATAAACGCTCCTGTAAGTCCCTACATGTTTCGCCCCGAAAGGGCTTCTTCAGGGGAGAGAGACAATTCTATGGGAGATATGTGTCATATATGTGTCTTCACCGTCAGTTAGTCAGGGAAGCGAGAATATAGTGGAAAAACTGCTTCAAATACAAACAAGGGATTGGTTTTGTCAAGCATGAACCGCCACAGGTAAACACAAATGGAGGGATCGCGTCGGAGACAGCACCCTGTAGTCTTCAGGAAAAACAGGCAGCCGGCATACTAGACTTAGAGGTAGTGAAGTTCTGCTCTTGCCGTGTGTGGTGTTGCTGTTTCTTTCCCAGACATCTGGGAATCTGGGACATCTGGGAATCTGGGAAAGAAACAGCAACACCACACACGGCAAGAGCAGAACTTCACTACCTCTAAGTCTAGTATGCCGGCTGCCTGTTTTTCCTGAAGACTACAGGGTGCTGTCTCCGACGCGATCCCTCCATTTGTGTTTACCTGTGGCGGTTCATGCTTGACAAAACCAATCCCTTGTTTGTATTTGAAGCAGTTTTTCCACTATATTCTCGCTTCCCTGACTAACTGACGGTGAAGACACATATATGACACATATCTCCCATAGAATTGTCTCTCTCCCCTGAAGAAGCCCTTTCGGGGCGAAACATGTAGGGACTTACAGGAGCGTTTATACCATTCTGATAACAAACAACCATATACATCGTAACTGCACGGTATCGTCACCATTCGGTGAACCTGCATTTGTAAAAGCATTTTTATTGATGATTTTGTATTCCGTTTTTTATCTTAAATAATGTATACAACGATTTATTGAATAAATGTACTTCTAAGATTTTTATACACAAGGTCTGGACTTGTTTCTTAAAAGCCCCCTTTTTTTATTTTCCCCTCTGGGTCCTCGCACACCCCACTGTGGAAATACCCTTTTTTTTTCTTGCATTTGAAACCTGGGGTGTGAAACTTCCAGCTCCTCTATATGTCTTCTGCAACGCATGTCTACTAATATTATCCCTTAAATAAATGTTTCTATCACCACATAATGCAATTTCATCAGTTGAAAACATGACTTCCTTATACATTTAAATTCCAGCTAACGTGTTTTGTTGGTTGCTTTTTACAAGCTTGTGGGAAAGCACAGTGACCTAGTGGACAACTTTATAGTTGTAAAGTACTGGGGTTCTGTGTTCATTTCTCATTGAGGACAGCACCTTGATGAAGTTTGTATATACTCCCCATTTTTGTTCTGTTTTCTCCAGGGGGTCTTAATTATTCCCCTAATACATAGTCTCCTG